GGAAAGAGTCTCTTCCAAACTCTCTCAGTCTGTTGACAAAATTCATTTCCTTGCAGCCATTTGAAGTCCCACTTTCTTGGCAACTGACAACAGGGGACCATTTTTAGCAACTAGAGACCATTCTCAGGTCCTTACCAAATGACCTGTCATAAACAGTTCACTGTTGTTACTGTTGACTTCTCAAGGTCAGCAGGAGAATCTCCCTCCCACTTAAAATCTCTTCTAATGGCTTTTAAGTCTGCACATGATTAGGTCAGACCCAGTCAGAATAATCTCCCTTTTTAGTAACTCACAGTCAGATGATTAGGGACCTCAATTACATCTGCAAAATCTCTTCTATATAACGTAATACTTGTTAGAATGACAGTCCATCATATTTACAAGACTCAATCACAATTGAAGGGAGGAGTTTGCACAAAGCATATACCCCAAAGGGAGGGACTCTTAGGGGCCATCTCAGAATTCTACCCACCTATAGCCCCTCACTTGTGTCCCATAGATTCTGATCTGTGGATTGAGAATAACACTCCATTTTCAAAACTGTTATAAGCTTTAAGTGACTGCTTTTCACTCAGAAAAAAGTACCACCAGTGTTATGGTCACATTGTTAAAAAAAAAAAAAGAACAAGCCCAAACTGAGTCACTCACTTGTGCTAAACCCACATCAGCAAATCAGGACTTAATATCTAACCTAATTGTAGCTTCAGCTTCTCCCAGGAATGTGACTTTTAACTAGTTTATCTGAAATTACCTGATCAGCCCTGGTGAGGTAATCTGCATGATAAACACCCCCCTTCTCCAAAGGATGGTGATATACCTGAACCCATCCACTTCCTTCCCAGCCCCCTGCCCCTTCTGCCTATAAAAGTCTTTGAAGCTCTTTGAAGCTCCTGTCTGCTAGATGGAATGCTGCCAGTCATAAATTGTTGAATAAATCCAATTATAATCCTCAAATTTACTCAGCTGAATTTTGTTTTTTAACAATATTAATCCTCATTGGGTTCCACTGTGATATAGCCTTGTCCTAAGTTCCTGTCCACTGCGGAAGCTTATGATAAGGAACTCTGATGCATCTCCCTGTTACTGTATCTTTAGCCACACTGAATCAATAAAGTGCTTTTAAAATTTTTAGCACATAGCTTCAATTTCTGTTCCAGGATTTAGTGTGACACTTCAAAGCACTTGGAGGGGCTGCTTTCTAGTGGATCCATCTCGAGGCCTGCAAGCAACACATTTGGGGCTTCTGCTGTCTGTAACCCAGCCCTCCAAGGTATCAGAGCATGATAACACATCCTGAGTCCCAAATGGTGGGGTGACAACCACTGTTGGTACCTGAGATTTTAGGTGGTAGTATAAGCAGGTAGAGTAGGGGGGGCCCTGGAGAAAGAGTACCAGGCAAGGCTTTCTTGACATAAGAGAAGTGGCCTAAGCTGTTTTGTGACCTAAATCTGGCCACAATGCCTGCCCTGGAACAGGTCTCAGTAATCATTGATATTAAGGGAAGTAAGGAAATGTAAGAACAAAGGAAAAGCAGTCAAGAAAAACAGTTCAACTATAAAACAGAGTCCTAGTTCCTCCTCAAGGGATGTACATAACAATCTGATACCGTCTTTGAGTACTGCAAGAACTAAGGCCCCCACCTAGGAGGAGGATGGAATGATGACGTTGACCCTCGTGACTTCAATCAACTAAACTTGGACTCTGTCGACTGTGGCCCGAATTCTATGCTGAATTCTCCACTGCTCAAGCCCCTTCATGAATACCCATGTACCTTTAGCTTAAAACTTCCCCAAATTTGCTGTTGGGGGAGACACTGCTTTGGCAGAGATCACTGGTGTTCTCCTTACTTGCTGCAAGAAATAATAAATGCTTCCTTCTCCCTAACTTTGGCTTGGTTGTGACTTTTGGCTCAATACCCACCAAGAGGTGAACCCACTTTTGGGGTCACAATAAACAGATTATTCTGTTTTTAATTGCAATTTATTGATGTGTTTTAGAAATATATATATCACTATTCAAACCCATGATTATAGGGCATAAACAAGGCTAAAGTAGGAATTTAAAATATTTTAAAGTTCGTTGATTAGAGAAAATATTTTTTTAAATAATAGTACAAATGGCTAGGATATGGCGAAAATCACGATGGTGTTACTCTAATCTGGGAATCATTGGCATATGAGAAACTGGCTGGTGACTAAGCAGTGGATGAAGTAGTGGATTCAGTAGATATAGAATAAATTATGCTAACCGAGTCAGGCTCCAAGAGCCCCTTCGTTCTCAAGAACGTGTACAAAAAGAAGCCCACCATATTCCAAGCCTACCACGTGCAGGCAGTGGAGTGCATGGTATTCATGCCCTACTAAGCGGGCCTCAAACCAAACCCTTACCGTGGGGGTCTACAAGCAGGAGTGTGACGGGAGAAGGTGGAGCCTTGTGGGGGGGGTGGCTAATCCACCTGCGGATGCGTGCGGGGGCGTGGCTGGAAAGGGGCGGGTCCTAGCGGCGGAAGGCGGAAGTCGGTGCAGAGTCACCTGATCTGAGTAACATGGACGCTGCCCCTTGAGCCCGGCAGGTGCTGGCCTGGAGCGGGTCTCATGAGCTGTTTGGCGGCCAGGGGCAGGTGTACGGAGACGGGGTCCAGGCCCGGGGTCCGAGGCGGCGCGCGGCGGCGGAGCGAGACAGGCGGCCCGGGGAGGCGTGGTCCATGAGCCGGCGCCGGAGGCAGTGCGGAGCCGCAGACTCTCCTAGCCCCGGCGCGGCCCGGGCTGCCGCGGGCTGAGGAGTCGCGGGGCTCCGGGGATCGCCCCGAGCTGCCACCATGAACCCAGAGAAGGATTTCGCGCCGCTCACGCCCAACATCGTGCGCGCCCTCAATGACAAGCTCTACGAAAAGCGGAAGGTGGCAGCACTGGAGATCGAGAAGTAAGAGCCGCGGGCACCCGGGTTGGTCGTGGAGAGCGGAGCCGGGACTCCGTCCTGATGCTGCAGGGGTCCCGCTCCTCCGGGCAGCTCCTCACGCCTTTGCAGCCAGTGTTGCTACTCCAGGTTTCAGGCCCTTAGGGCCGTGCTTAAGAGCAGGAGATTGGCAGTCCCAGCTTTGCTTCTGACTGTGTGACGTGGGCCAAATTATTTAACCTCCTGGTACCCCGAAGGGGCTGCCGTGAGAAGGAAGCAACGAAATGTATGCGTGGTGCTTTGCACAGTGCCTGGCACATGGTGCGTCTTCAGTGTGGTCTCCATGCAAACAAGCAAATCAGAGAGTGACCTCTGATGGGAGGGAGGTAGGAAGCATGAGAATTTGCTAACGATGTTGACCTGCCTCATTTCTTACCCAGCTTCTGAGAAGTGAAAGGGACAGTAAGTTGACCAAGTGGAGAAATAAGCCAAAACCTCAAGGCTCAGAGGGCTGTTTATCTCTGTCATATCATGCTTCCCTGAAAGTGAAAGAAGGAATTATTCTTGTTTCTGCACTCTTACTACACGTACAGCAGTACCCTCTTATTTGTGGGGGATATGTCCCCAGACACCCAGTGGATGCCTGAAACCTTGGATGATACCAAGCTCTATATATACTATGTTTTTCCCATACATACGTATGTATGGTAAAGTTTAAGCACAGTAAGAGAATATCCTAATGACCGGCATCACCAGCATTGCACTTTACGGCCATTATTAAGTAAAATAAGGGCTATTTGAACATAAGCATTGCGATACCGACAGTCGATCTAATAACCCAGAAGCTACTAAGTGTGTGAGTATCATATACAGCATAGATATGCTGGAGGAAGGGATGACTAATGTCCTGGTGGGATAGCACAAGATTTCATCTCACCACTCTGAACTGCATACAGTTTAAAACTTAGAAATTGTTTATTTCTGGAATTTTCCATTTAATATTTTCTGACCTGCTGTTGACCATTGGTAACTGAAACTGGATAACGGGCTTCCACTGTATTTGTAACCATGATCTGACATTTTGTTGTTTTTTTTTTTAATTACAAAACAAGGTATTTAACTGCAAACATTAAGGTTTTTCTGCTGTTATTTTACATTTGTATTTTTTTTCCAGCCAAATCGTTGTGATAAAGTCTGGTGTGTGGGTAATTTCAAAAGAGTAGAAAGAGGCAGGCTGTGAAACTGACAGAATGCCAGTCTGGGCGTCAGGAACTATGGATTGTAGTTTTGCCCTGTTTAATAGGGTAGCCACTGGCCATGGGTGGCTATTTACATTTAAATTATTGAAGATAAAATAAAAATTTTATCTAGTTCCTCAGTCACACTGCCCATATCTGACATGTTCAATAGCCACATGTGGCTGTCAGCTGCCATAATGGACAGTGCAGATTTTAGAACATTTCCATCACTGCAGAATGCTTTGTACAGCTCTAATCTAGTCTGTTGTGTGACACTCATTCTTTGACCTCCAGCAAATTCCTTAACTCAGGGTTTCTTAACCTCAGCACTACTGATATTTTTGGACAGATAATTCTTGGTTGTAGTGGGCTGTCCTGTGCATTATAGGGTTTTTAGCGGCATCCCTGATCTTTACCCACTAGACACCAGTAGCTATCTGTCACTTGTATAACCAAAAATGTCTCCAGACACTGCCTAATGTCCCCTGGGGAACGGACAGTCACCCCTGTTGAGAACCACTGCCTTAACTGCTTTGGGTTTTAGTTTCCTCCTCGGCTAAAGGGTTTGGATTTTACTAAAACGACCCTCCCCTTCAGCTCTGACATCCAGTATGTCCAGAACCCCCTAGCTGCTTCTCTCATCAAGCACCCCTTTTTTTTTTTTTGGCTGCACCTGTGGCTTGCTGGATCTTAGTCCCCTGACCAGTGTCCTGTTTGATATGTTCCTCAGAGTATGTGTTTCACAACTTGCTCAGGGACAGAGGGACTTATTTGTGCTTCACCTGGGAGCTTTCTAATGTCTCTGTTTATAAAGACGCTGATCCTATTGGATCAGGGCCACACCTTTATGACCTCATTTAACCTTAATTACTTCCCTTATAGGCCCTATCTCCAAATACTGTCACTAGGGTTGTATGAACTGGGGGGTGGGGGTGGGGGGACAATTCAGTCCATAACGTTGGTCATTTTAAAAAGTGATCACATGTAAAACACTGTCTGCCTTATTTGGGGGGAGGAGGATTTCGCCCTTGTACATCCCTCATCTCATTTATTTTGCGCAGCTGCCCTATGAGCTAGGTAGTGTTACCCCATTTCACAGATGAGGAAGCAGAGGCTCCTTGAGGGTAAGGAATCATCCCAAGTTTTCGCAGCTAGAACCTGGATCTAAAAACTCAGGTTCTTCTGTCTCAAAAGGCTTCCCCATTACAATGAATGGTTTTCCCTTCCAAAAGGGAGACACATACTTAATAAAATGTCATACTTGAACACCCCCATGGTAGTTTTAACTGCCACTTTCTGTTTTCTGGAAACCATCTGTCTGCTCAAGTGGCAGAACCAGTAATGCATGGGGTGCTGGAGTGAGGGATTAAAATTCCTAATAAGAGGAGGGTGTTTTATCTTGATGACAGGCCTCTCAGACACTAAAAACGCAGAGACGGATGCTTGGCTCGACTGAAGGACCCCAGACTCTAGACTCTCAAGACCGGCCTGTGTTAGGTGATGAGGATCTGATGGCTAAATGTGTGAGCCTGTTGTGCACAGTCCTGGAGAGCCTTTACCCCGCAGCCTGGCTCCAACACGCCCACACAGCTTTCTCAAGGATAAGGCCCTGAGGCTAAGATTTTAGAATGGCTGTGGCTCGTTTTGCGGGCCCTGGGTGTCAGGGGTTATAGTCCCTGATGAGTCCCGAGGACAGGGATGGTGAGACCCCAGGCCCTGCTCTCCGGGAGAGTCTAGCATGGGGGAGAAACGCCAGCAGGCGCTCTGATAAGTGTGGTGGGTGCTCCCTCACTGCGGTGACAGGGCCCTCACTGCAGGCTGGGAGAGATGATGCCCTTCGTGGTAACCAGGGATGGGCTCACTGGCAAGTCTCTGGTGTTCCTGAACTTTGAGTTCCTAAAGCCAGCAAATGGAGGTGCCCAGGCCCTGAGCCCTGAGAACACCGAAGTCCAAGGAGGGGCTCCAGGATCAGAGCTCCTGGGATGAGTCCCTGCCTGCTGGGGAAGGCAGGGTGGGGAGGGTGGCGTGGGGAGCCGGGATCCCTGGGGCTCTGTGATCACATCAGGGTTGAACTGCTGAGTTTGACCTGGCCTTTTGGAGCCTGCCACCTCTGTAGGGAGACACTGTTTATTACCAAGTGACTTCAGGCAGATTTTGGAGTGTGGGTCAGAATTCCACCCAGCAGATTGCTTCATCCAGGTGTCACAGACTGGCAGCCAGGGGCCGTGTCCTGCCGGCCGACCTGTTTGGTTTGGCCTGGATTGCAGGGTATTTTAAATCAAGAAATTTCATAGTGAAGTTCAGGTTTCTGGCTTCTATTAAAGAATGGGAAGATGTGGCTCTGTGCAGCCCACATTCCTATGTAGTAGTAGGGGACCCAGGGGCCCACCCTTTTCCCCCAACCAGGACATGGGCTCCCCAGTTTGCTTCCTGTGTTGGCAAGGTCACTACAGCCTGTCTTACCTCCCTTGGCCTTCTCACTTGTGTCTCCTTCTTGTCTTCTGTAAGCATCTGAGTTTGTGACCTTGGGTTTAACCTCTCTGTGCCTCAGTTAACTCATCAAGAAAAAATTGTACTTTGAAAACATTATGCTAAGTGAAAGAAGCCAGTCACAAAAGGCCATGTATTGTATCATTTCATTTGTGTGGATTCATAGGCAAATCCACAGAGACAGTGTAGATCAGTGGTTGCCTAGGACTTGGGGGAGGGGGGTTGGGGGGAAATGGGGAGTGACTACTAATGAGTACAGGTTTTCTTCTGGGGATGATTAAAAAAAGTCTAAAATTGATTGTGGTGACACTTGCACAGCTTTGTGAATATACTAAAACTCACTGAATTAATTGTACATGTTTAAAGAGTGAATTTATGACATGTGAATAATATCTCAATTTTAAAAAATAAGAGTGCCTGTAGATTGTGTTACAGTTGAGGGAAGCGCTTATTCAGTGGTCTGTTGTCACCTGAGATCCAAACATGCCTCCTTCTGTCTCCTTTACAGTTTTTCCACTGACTATACCCAGTGGATGCTAAGTATATTTTGCTACTTAACTAACTCTTGGGTCTTTTCAGAAGCTCTTTGGGCCTTTCCTCAGAGGCAGATGTTCCGCTTTTCCTGTTCAGTTATTGGAGAGTAGTGAGCAAGTGGAAACCAGATTACTTAAATACTCAGCAAAGCAGATGGAGGAGACGTTTACCTGCCAGATTCTCTTTGGGAAATTGCTGCCTGAATATGTTGCCTGATTACAGCATGTTACAAAGAGAACTGGGATGGTTCATTGGACTTGTCAGGAAAAAAATGGCAGCCCGAAGTCCAGGCTGAAATTTTTACAGCATAGGAATAAACACAACTCTGGATTATCTTTCTGTCCTTCTTGGAGCCAGGAGCAAAGCAGGTTCTCAGTCAGCAGTTAATGAATGAATATGATCTTGTTAGGTGTGTATAACATCATGGTTTGATTCTGATTTTGCACTAATACTGTTACATGAGCATATGCAGTACAAAACACATTGTGTGCATTATTTTATTTAATTCTCTAAAAATAGTACAAAGCCACAGCCAAGACTGGCTCCTCTGAAGACATAGGAATGTGTGTGCAATGGCTGAAACCTATGCCACCTCCTGGCCGGGCCATTTGGACATCAACAAATGAAATGAGATAGGGTTAAATGAAATAATGCATGTAAAGTGCCTGGCACCCAGTAGGCATCCAACAGGTGGGAGCTTTGCTGTTTTAAGAGAGGATAATGTAACATGGTAGATTTCAGACCTGGTGTCAGAAAAATCTAGGT